GCCTTCTCCCCCCACCTTGGGTCCAGGCCCACTCCTCCCCCACCCACCTCCCCCACGTCGGCCTCGAGTGCATAAAATAATTAGATGTCTGAAAGCCATGTAAGTACCTCTTAGACACCTCAGAGGTAGAATAGGATCCGGGACAAAGTTTGAAACATAGTTTACTATTCTGGATAGCAAAGCTAGTTCTTATTATTCTGTACATCATAAAAAAAAAGAAAACAAGACTCACAGAATTGTTCTCTGGTACTACTATGACTATTATCACTACAAGTATAGCACATGGATGCTGCAGATGTTGGAAGAGTGGGTGAGTGAGTGTATCTGTAAACATACTGTAGAGAATTAGTAAGAACCAGAATGTGTTACAAAGCATACGTCGAGTTTTTAGGTGGAAATACCATTAGCATAACTCTAATTTTCATCTGGCAGAGATGGTTGCTTTAGATATGCACCCTCGTACATTACCCTTATAAGTAAACTGTAACTCACTCTCCATAATTTAACCTTTTATTGCAACTAATGAAATAAAACAGTGAGCATCTCACTTTATTTTTGAACTACTGATATTCCATCCCCTAATGGGAAGCTACCATTCGATACAAATGAGTGGATCTGAGAATTTACATTACCAGATTGAGTTCTACCCTTTAGTAAGACCAGCTCTACAATATAAATGATAAATGTTAAATAAGAATAATATTTGAACATATACCTTTCCACAGATTTTTGTACACCAACTTAGAGCACTTTGGTTTCAATGAGTCTTTTCTATAAGAGTGCATAGAATTTTCAAATTACTATGATAGACTGTTAAACTTTGCTTTCAGACCCATTAAAAAACTAACACTTTAATGCTTTTTATTCTCACTACTACTTCTCACTACTTCTGTACAATTTTAATTTTGCTGCACTAGAAATTACTCCTGTTAGACTTTTACAATCTTATTTTAAAATAAACTGAATGGTAAAAGAAACAAAGTAAAACAAACTGCTGATACTGGACCCTTACAGTAGGACTCTGTGAAGCTTTGGGTGCTGATTTGATTCGGAGGAGATCCAGGTCAATTTGGTGGCTGAATCTCTGAATCCGAATTGTATTGGGAGACCAATAAAAAGGTCCAAATGGATTCAAAGCTCTCCAAATTGATTCAGAAAAGATTTGGAGAGATTTGGAGATTGAGGCAGTCCCCACTCACCACAGCATGGAACTAGACCTAGGCTCCATGCCAGTAAGTAGGGAGCAGAGGGAGGGGTCTGGAGGAGGGGGGAAGGGACCATGGGGGGACCCCTGCCAGGCCCCATCCCCTGCCTGCTTCCCCAGCCCCCCTGAGTGCCCTCTGACCCCCACCCGCTCTCCCAGCCTTGTCAATGGCTACTCTGCCTGGCCCCAGCGTTCCAGCTCTTTAATAAAATAAAACAAAAGTCCCACTCTCACCGGCTCTTGCCAGGCCGAGTGGGGGAAGCGGTCCCCACTGCCCCACGCTGTATGGGGGGCTCTGCCATGATCCCCCATCTGCTCTCCCAGCCCCATCAATGGCTGGCTGCCCCTCCTGGCCCCAGCACCCAGGCACTTAAAAGCCCCACACTCGCCAGATGCTGCAGCGGCCGTGGGGTGCAGCAGGGATCACCCCCCACCCCCGGCCTGGCAGGAGCTGGTGAGTGCAGGGCCTTTGTTTTTTTTAAGAGCCGGGACACTGGAGCCAGGCGGGGCAGCCAATGATGGGCTGGGAGAGCGGGCAGGGGATGGGTTCTGTTTGATTCGGAGATTCGGTTGACTCGGCAGCAGCCTAATTTCCGAATCAGATTTGGCCAAATTGATTCAGGACAGTGATTTGAATCACCGAATCGAATCGCTGTCCTCCAAATCGGCCAAATCCAAATCGAATACTAGCTGCTTTTCATAGGCCTACCTTACAGGGAATACAGAGAGCTCCCTGGCTCATTACTCTGCAGAGATACTCATGGTGTTCATTAAATTAAAGCCCCAACCAAACTTTGCCTTTAATGTAATAGGTGGGGCTCAGAGTTAGGTTTTAATGTGTGTATTAATCCTCAGAGGACAAAAGCTTTCAGTTTTGGTGAAACTAACTTACCTTTGTCAGCTGTTCATTTAACTGTTAACATAGTTGTAGCAACTCTGTTTGCTGGAGAAACAAGACCGTAATATACATTTCGTTTAAGATGCGTTGAAATCAGAAGTAATATTTAAGAACAAAGGGAATAAAAATAAGAAGATTAAGGTCTGCTCCTTCAGGGA